GTGATGAGTTGCAGAACAATGTTTTCTTTGTGGAGACTGGCAGCTCCTTCATGGAAGGACATTGGGGAAGGCATCTGTTAAACGGAACAGAACAGATTTCATCATAAACCAGATCAACAAAGTACAGCTTCTGTGGGCCACCTGCCAGAATACGCGACTCGCCTTGTTATATGGAACCAGACGTTAAGACGGACTTTGCTAGGATTTTCTATAGTAAAACCTGGTAAGCCATGCTCACTAGTGTGTAACTATGAATGGGAAATTTTTAACCATCAAAACTCAAAAGGATCCAAGTTCAGTTTCCTTGCACTGCGAATCAAATTTTAAAAAATTTCGGTGGACCTGTCTTCAACTGCATACTTCAGAGAAAAAAACTCATACTATTAATTTAACAGGTTTCCTAAGTGACTTAGGGGTAAAGAATCCACCTGCCAATACAGGAGACACAGGTGTGATCCCTGGGTCAGGACGAGTCCCCTGGAGAAAGAAATGGAAACCCACTCTAGTATTCTTGCCTAGGAAATCCCATAGATGGAGGAGCCTGGCAGGCTACAGTCCCTGGGGTCGAAAAAGAGTCAGACCTGATTTAGGGACCGAGCTGTGTTTAATTGCTCAGTTGTGTCCGACTCTCTGTGGTCCCATGGACTGTAAGCTATCAGGCTCCTCCATCCATGTAATTTTCCAGGCAAAAATACTGGTGATCAGGTAGCCACTTCCTACTCCAGGGGATCTTCCTGCCCAGGAACTGAACCCAAGTCTCCTGCATCTCCTGCACTGGCAGGTGGATTCTTTACTGCTAGTGCCACCTGGGAAGTGACTAAACAACAACATTAACATAATACAATTTCCATAATGCTATAAGTACACTGTCTGTAACTCAAATTTCTATGAAATTAATCATGCATCCAACCAATAGATATTTCTTAAGCGACAACCTGGGGAAGCTCTACTGGAAGCCAGAGAGATATCATCACTCTGATGGAAGCTGAAGCCTGGTGGAGGCAACCGCCACCCACTCACCAAGAGCAAATTCAGGCTGCTCTGAGCACAGAGGGGGGTCCCTCCCACAGGTCCAGGAAGGGTTTCTGGAGTAAATAACATCTGACTTGAGCCCAGACGGAGAAACAAGAGTTAACCAGGTAAATAGGGAAAGAGATGAGAGTGTGGAGAAAGTATACGTATTTTTTCAGACCTTTTTTCACTATAGGTTATTACAAGATATTGAATATAATTCCTTATGCTATACAGTAGGTCCTTGCTGACTGTATATTTTATACATAGTAGTATGTATTTGTTAAACCCAAATTCTCAGTTTATCCCTCCTCTTCCCCTCTTTTGATAACCATAAGTTTGTTTTCTATGTTTGTGAGTCTATTTCTGTTTTTTAAATATGTTCATTTGTACCATGTTTTTAGATTCTACTTAAAAGCAGTAACATACAATATTTGTCTTTCTCTGATTTATGTCACTTAGTCTGATAATCTCTAGGTCCATCCATATCGCTGCAAATGACATTATTTCATTCTTTTTCACGGCTGGGTAGTATTTCACTGTATATATATATATATACCACATCTTTGTCCAATGATCTGTTGGTGGACATTTACATTATTTCCATGTCTCAGCTATTGTAAATAGTGCTGCTATGTCACTGATTTTAAATGTATCTTCAATTAAACTCCAATTGCATTATACATTAATATTTAACTGCCAGGGGAGTTTACTGCAATTTGTATGTCTCCCCAAACATCAAAGGTTTAATGATCTATAAGCACAGGGGAATTTCAGTGCTTTACAAAGCAAATACAGATCTATAGTCTCCTTATCTTACCACAGGCAGAACGTGTCTCCAGATTCAGAAATGTTCAAATTTTAGGAGGGTAAAATGTTGCATGTACTTTATGTAACACCCTCAGTTAGGACCTGGGATAGCACCCTGTAATCACACAGATTCATAATTTGCAGCAAAATGGATGAATACTTGCACTAAAGGGAATAAATAGGAGTTTGGGTCAAGTTTTGCTACAGAGTTCAAGTCAGGTCTTGCTGCCAAATAAGCCATAAAATAACCTGAGGTTATTCAGAGCACTGGGTATCTCAGAATTGCAGATAAGAGATGGTGGATCTATCATATCTTAAGTCCTATGCTAAGCTTGGATTTCTCATATGAAAACTGCACCCTTAGCAAGCATTTTATTTCAAAGTACCAAAGTGTTGGAAAAGAAAATGCAGGCAAGGAAATAATTATCAGATTACCAAATACCCAGCAATAATTATACCTAACAGAGTTACTTAAGAATGGCATAAAAACAGTCCTGCAGCCAGGTTATTGAGGGCTGAGGCAACCAGAACTTCAGAAAACAGTCACTTTGAGATCAGTCCCATCCTGCAGGATGGCGGGCAGAAAAACTGAGAAGACCATCTTCAGCTAAGAATGTCAGTTCTGGTGTCAAGATCCAGAGGGAAGCCCCACAACCTGAAGACCCCCACTGACGGCTGTCCCCGAAGAGGAATGGCAGATATTCCCAATCCACAAGGTATTCCAGAAAAGCTATATCCAAACAGAATCCATAGCAATTAAATCCACAATTAAGGAAAAAATGGGAAGGTTCTCACTACTGTGACAGAGCCAATTAGTAAGGATAAAAAGGGTGAAACCAAAGAGTTTAAAATTCTCAAAATGCCCAAATGTTACCCTCTTAAAGATGTGCTATAAAAACTGTTGAGCGGTGGAGAAAGAAAAAAAAACAACTACAATCAACGTGAAGAAAACTACGAGTGTCACTCCCAGGTCCTCTCTGATCGTCCTCACCGCCATCCCGGAGACAAGCAGAAGGCGGCTTCCCTCAAGTACCTGCGCAGGGACTTGCCATTTGGGGCTGAACCACTAGTCCTCACTCACCTGAGTTCCTTCATCTAGAACACTCAGAATCTGTCATCACCTCTACCAAAACTTACCATAATAGTGTGAAAGTTCCGAAGTATCTCAGCACTGATTACTTTTTTTTTTTGAACAGTGATTACTGTTAAGAAGTTGCATGAGACTGAAGATCAAAAAGGCTGAGCTCCAAGAGAAGCCACCACAGTGAGAAGGAGACACAGTGCAGCTTGAAAGTAGCCCCCGCTCACCACAAATGGAGAAAAGCCTGCACAGCAGTGAAGACCCAGCACAAAAAATAAAATAAATTTAAAAAAAAAAAAAAGGTTGAGCTCTTCAACTCAGAGGAAGAGAATGGTTAAGTTTTTGGAGCAGTACAAGGCAGACCAGAAAATTGTGGAGTCTCAACTTTCGCCAAAAATCAGAGCCCTTCCCAGTTCTGGGACAGCCCGTATGGCCTCAGAAATAAACCTTATACTCCTGAGTTGATGTTCTGTATCATTTGCAGAGCTCTAGTTAAAAATATCCAAAACAACAATAATGAACCAAGAACCTACTGTGTCAAAGGAATTGCCTTTCTAAGAGATAATCAGTAAATCTGTTAATACATCCAAATACAAGGGGCTCCACAAGACACGCATAGCACAGGACAAATACTACCATGTGCCACAAATGTCCTAGGACACCAGTGAGCCCAGGTCACTTGTAAAGGTTAGGGCTTCAAGCTCCAGGTTTCAAGGAAGGGAAGCTTCCACCACAATATTCAAGAAAAGGAAGTTTCAGGACATAGAAACCAGAGGCATGGTGATGGCTCTGAGGGATCGCACAGTGAGCACAAGGCCAGTCTCCCAGCATATCCATGTGAGAATACCCTTGCTCAGAAGGCAGGGGGGACCAGAAGGAGCCTCCTCACCGGTACTGGTTCCCAATTAAGATGAAACCAAGGCAAATAAGCTGTTTATTCCAGATCAGAAATAAAGGCAGTGAGTTTTCCTAGTGTTAGTCACTCAGTGGTATCTGACTCTCGCAACCCCATGGACTGTAGCCTGCCAAGCTCCTCTGTCTATAGGATTCTCCAGGCAAGAATACTGGAGTGGGTTGCCATTCCCTTCTCCAGGAGATCTTCCTGACTCAGGGATCAAACCCGGGTCTCCTGCACCGCAGGCAGATTCTTTACCATCTGGACTACCAGGGAGGTCCCCCCAAAATGCCCAGTGAAGATTCAAAACAAATAGGCATCTGTCTCTTACCCTCTTCTCTGACATGAGCTCTATAAACGTTTATCTCCATTCAACATAACAGGACAGTCTTGTTTTAAGAGCTGAATCAGGAACAAAAATTGCTTCTAAGATACCTTTAACTTTAGGAATCTAAATACCTAAGAACCTAAACAAGGCCCCAAAATGAATTTTAGCATTCTGCAAGTTATGCTACATGCATGTCAGTGAAAACCATGGTGCTGCTCAAAAGAACAATGCAAAAAAAAAAAAAAAAAGAACAATGCAGATCTGCATGAACTGACATGAAAAGATGTCAGGGAGAAATTACTGAAAGGCAAAAAACAAGTTGAAGAGCAGAGTAGACAGTAACACACCATTTTTGTGAAACAAACTATATACATGTGTGATAGGCACAGGCACAGAAATATTCTTTCCACAACTCACAGTTAAGAGCCAGAACGAACATACGTAACCATTAACATGTGTTTCCCAGGGGAGAGCGATTAGAGAGAAAGGTCGAACATGTTCTCTTTTATTTCATACATTTCCACAGTGTTTGCATTTTCTTATAATAACCATGCTCTATCTCAATTTTTAAAATTTAAAGTAAGATTTTGTTAAAGGTACTATCAGACTATTGCCAATAAATGACTTCTCTTTATTGCCCTTTGAGCCATAGCTACAATATCCAGCAATAAATGGGGCTGTTTCTAAATGGATTAGGTCTTCATCTTTAGGACAAGGACAAGAAGACACCTGAAAGGGGGTCTCCTGAGCATGAGAATGAATGAAAAGTGTCATGCATGGGCCACATGGCCAAGAACCACATTCAATTACACAGCCGTGGTATCTGATTATTGCAACACTAGGCTAATTCTACAGAGATGGATGGAAAGACTCACCAAATAAAGGTTATTTTTGTCCTGAAAGGCGTACTGCAACTGGGGGATCCAAGGACTTGTACTCCGAGATAATATGTTCTGTTCTTCCTCGAAATATGAGACCTAGGAGGAACAGAAACTATTAAGACAATTATAAAGAACTAAGTGTGATGGGGGAAATGCTCTTTATTCTCCCTTTAAACTTAAACTGATACCCAGTTTTGTTGCTTTTTTAAAAAGCCATCACATAGCCCAACATTCCACACATCTCATTCTTATGCCTACTTTGCTCAATTTTTGCCAGACCCATATAATACTGTCCAGTTATTTACTTAAATGTCTTTCTTCAAGGTCGACCCACTTCTTTTAAATTTAAATCTTCCTCTTCGCCTTCCCTTACTGAGCAATTCAGTCCTAAAACCTTTAGATGGAGAATAACCAGATAAACATCCATGACAGGTGACGAGGAAAGCCACGGTAGCCCAGAACAGGGTGACAGGTCCGAGCAGGGTGAGGAGTGAAGCAACCACGTGTGGAGCAGACCAGTGTGGGCATCAAAGGCTCACGTGTGAGCAGGAAGTCAACCTAGGTCTAGATGACCTAGAGCATCTGAGCTCGTCAAGGTAGACTGGACGGATGGACACAGCTGCATAAAATAAGTAAAAAATACTGAAGGTAATATCAGAGGAGTTATAAACATGGAAAGGGTGAAAATCAAGACAAACCTTGTGAAGCTGGACAGGACTTGGAGATGTTGGTGTGAATACATGGTTTTCAATATACACAGGTAGATACAGAAATAAATACAGATGGTAATGTTCGTGTGTATGAGGTAGGTATACTGCATACACGAACATGTATTTCCTGGCCTTGTCCATTGAATGGAGTCTGGCAGCAATGACACTCTGATAGCAAAGAGAACACCTTGTGCCCAGACCTTGGCCTCTAAATACTGTTTTCCACTTAAAAAAATTAAAAATAAAAAAATAAAGGGCTCCCAGAGAAATGACTGATTGTGGGGCTGGGGCAGGTAAAGTGAATTTAAGAGCCCAAACATCTTGTTGTATCAGACAGTAACACAGAATTCAAAGATAGAGAATATGTCAAAAGGATATACAAAAGCCAACCTAAAGAGATTCTCATGGGCCAACTTGGGAACAATTTGAGTATAAAAACATATACTGAATGGATTGTAACTCACTGACAGGCAAACACAAGTTCATACAGATATAAATAAATGGATGGATTCAAAGTTTTATCAGAAACAGGTATTTCCACAGTTTGAAAGTACCTCCTTCCAAAATACCTATGCAATTACAAAGCGGAAAGGAATAACTCCGAAGTGGAGAAGGGTGGCAGATACCAACATGACATCCTCAGGAATGTGACAAACCACAACTGAGACTCCCCTGTTGGGATGCAATGAGAGGAACAGAGCATCCTGTCTGTGATAGTCCTGTGTGGCTCAGGTAACAAACAGGTGGGTGGCTTTAATTAGCTCCTGGGTATATGAGATTTTTTAATCCCCCAAAATACACCTCACACGGGGTGACTCAAGTCATTGACCTAGAGGAGCACAGCTGGGCGAGGCTCCCCACCCCTCACCTGCAGTGCGGGATGTGCTGGGCGAGGCTCCCCACCCCTCACCTGCAGTGAGGGATGTGCTGGGTGAGGCTCCCCATCCCTCACCTGCAGTGTGGGATGTGCTGGGTGAGGCTCCCCATCCCTCACCTGCAGTGTGGGATGTGCTGGATTTGTTTCCTTTTCTATGCACCATTGCCCATATGAAATAGAAGGAGCACAAGGCTACATCTAAGGCCTCTTCCAAGGACCTAGGACACACCAGACCCAACAGGTGCTTAGTAGGTGTGGCCTGATGACAGGTGGTTCTCAGGTGCTGGGAGGCTCAGTGAGCATCTTCCACACCTCTCTTCCAAATGATCTGCCATGTCCTGTCATGTATCCTTTCTATGAAGTTGCCCACATTTCATTCCTGAACAAAGGCCACAGCATTCTCGGATTCTGACAAGCAGCTTCCTGACCTCTGCTGTGTCCCTGACCAGAGGTCACACACAGTCACTGAAGTGCTGAAACCCTGATCCCAACCTCCTGCTTCCAAAAGCCTACATGAATCCCAACCGTCTCACAAATTAAATTCCAACCTCAAAAAGCAGTTCTCTGGGGAGATGATGAGTTACTGTTTAATGGGTACAGAGTTTCAGTTTAGGATGATGAAAAAGTTCTAAAGATGGACAGTAGTAATGGTGATGCAACACTGCCAAAGTACTTAATGCCACAGAACTGTACACTTAAAAATAGTTAAAGTGGTAAATTTTATGTGATGCATATTTTATCACAGCAGCCAGAACAGAGTTCTTAAGGTTTCCCACCAATCACCTCCTCCCAACTCCAATGTCCTTACTTCTCCTCATTTTCCAGTCTATTTGTTCTAAACTTCTAAACACACACAAACACATACATCTGCATAGCATTCTCGTACTTACACCTCCAGAGCGGCACACATACCACACTTCTACCCAATACATTCTCGTCACTTCCTGCCCAGAGCCCATGTTCCCTCTCAGCAATGTGAACCTCCCCTGTCTCCAGCTCACCCACATCTTTCCTCATCCAGTCATTTGTGAATTTGCTAACTGCTCCCTCTTTTGTGATGCTTTAGCTCCTAAGTGCCTGCTTTATGGATCTGCCATTTTTTCTCAACTTCCCAAGGCTGTGCCAAAACCCTGAAACTAACAGCCACAGAGCTTTGATTCCTTTTGCAGACTTCCCACGGAGCTCGGTCCATTATTGGACACATGATGTGCTCTCGAACGTGGGTAACTAATAAATTGCTCTCTGAACACCAAGGCTGATGGCCGTCTCTCTAGAAACACAGCAAATGAATCAATAAAGTCTGGGAGCAGCAGCCTTGTTTAAAAAGAGAGAAAAACCCACAACCAGAAAGATAACTTCTCACCTCCTCTCAGACTGGCAACTCCCTAGCCACAGAACAATTTAATTTCTTCAGAGGCCTGTTTTAAAACCAAATACAAAAAAAAAAAACAAATCAAGTACAGATGCCCCCAACACAAATATATAAGATGTGTACAAAAGCAAAGACCATCTGACTCATCCCGTGATATGCACATCTCTGAATCCCCAGTGGATGGTCACAAAAGATCATCTCAAATTCATTAGTGAAAAGGCCAAGTTGGTTCTGAATAATATGCAACTATAAAAACATGATCAAGCAACCCAGGGGAGCCTGTCAATCTTCAAAATTAGTCAATATCAGTTCAAGAAAGCAGGCTCAGACCTTCCTGGCTGTGCCATAGTAATTAAAACTAGGGATGCAGAGGAAAACTGGCTCCATCCCAGGTGTCAATTCAGCAGGTTCTCATCTCTGCAATGAACCTGCTGGTGCAGAAAGGGGAGGCTGGATGTTAAAAGGTCGTACCTGCTCCTGGGCCAACAAGGCCTTCTTCTTCATGACTTTCATGGCATAGACATCCCCAGTCGCTTTCTCTCTGACCACCTGTACTTCGGCAAAGTGACCGCAGCCTACGACACTTCTCACTTCAAAGTCCTTCACTGAAGGTTGGAGCTCTTGCAACTCAGCTATGATATCAGAATCTGCAAAAGACGGAAGAGTGACTCCTGGATCCATAATGTGCTTCAAATACTCGTATCTTTATGAAAGCAAGAAGAAAGGAAGAAAGAAGAAAGCGTTGCTGTATCTTCCCTCACTGTCAGGAGACATTTAGTCACTTTCTCCTTGTCGTGAATAATTATAAAATCAGCACAAAAGTGTTTTTTCTATGCTAAGTTAAAATTAAGGGCTCCAGAAATTCCAACGCACAGTTTCCATGGCAGCTATGATCTGAATCCTGTAGATGAAGAAAACAGGGGAAGGCGAACAGAAATCATGCTTTTCCTCCCCCTCTCCGGGGGCTGCAGGGCAGTGAGTGTGGTCAAACGTGTTATTGGTGTCTGGACTGGTTTATAATGGGATATGAGCCATGTGATCCCCATCCTCAGTCAACTTTGGGGTTGACTTCCAGATAATTCCATCCTGATTCCATATGTTCTACTCAGTTTTACTCCATTAGCCCAGGTCTTATCTCCCTTGCATCATGTCAGTAAATACCCTCCTTGCCATACATAGTATGCAGCAGCACTACCAAGGGAGAAAAAGCCTGAGGAACCAAGCAGAGGCCTGACCTTGGCCCTGCAGAGCTGACGTGTCACACAGCTTGATGGGTTTGCAACTGTCTCTTTTCTCAGCATAGTCTTACTCCTTTTCTAAATGCAATCTCTCAGCCCGTGTCTTCCTCTACCCTGAAAGCTTTAACGAAAGCATCAGACCCACAGATGAAGCGCTTTAAACAGCAGACATTAATTTCTCAAAGTTCTAGAGGCTGTGAGGGCCAGCAGGCTGAGAGTCTGTTGAGAACCCACTTTCTGGCTGACAGGCAGCCCCTGTATTCCTCATGTGGTAGAAGGAGAAGGAGCCCTCACCTCTCTTCCTCTTCTTTTAGGGACACGAATTCCATCATGGGGCCCACCTTGATGAATTCATCTACATCTAATTATCTCCCAAAGGCTCCACTTAGAGGGGGTCAGAGCCTCAACATATGAATTTGGGAAACCAGAGAAGGAAGCAGGAAAGTCGTTAAAAACATTCAGCCCATAACAGTCAGAGATTCTCCATGTTTAAAGTATGGACTAAACAGGTAGCAGATTTGGAATCTAACATACATTTACTAACAACATTAAATTGAGGCATCACAGGATAGATATATAGTGATTCTAATGATCTAAAGAATAGAATGGAACATAAATATTAGAGAAATGCAAATCAAAACTATAATGAGGTACCATCTCACACTGATCAGAATGACCATCATTGAAAAGTCAACAAATGACAAATGCTGGAGAGGGTGTGCAGAAAAGAAAAGCCTCTTACACTGTTGGTGGGGATGTAAACTGGTATAGCCACTATGAAAAACAGTATAGAGGTTCCTCAGAACACAACAAATAGAGCATAGAGCTAACATACGATACGGCAATTCCACTCCTAGGCATATACCCAGACAAAACTGTAATTTGAAAAGATACACGCACTGCCATGTTCACAGCAACACTATTTACAACAGCCAAGACATGGAAGCAACCTAAATGTCCTCTGACAGATGAACAGACAAAGAAGATGAGGTATATACATACGGCGGAATACTACTCAGTCACAAAAAAGGATGAATACCATTTCCAGCAACATGGATACCACTGCAGCAAAATTATCATACTAAGCAAAGTCAGTCTGGCTTCCCTGGCGGCTCCGACAGTAAATAATCCACCTGCAGTGCAGGAGACCTGGGTTCATTCCCTGGGTTGGGAAGGTCCCCTGGAGGAAGGCATGGCAACCCACTCCAGTGTTCTTGCCTGGAGAATGCCATAGACAGGGGAGCCTGGCAGGCTACAGTCCACAGGGTCGCACAGAGTCACATAGAGTCAGACACAACTGAGTGACTAAACAACAGCAACATACACAAGCAAAGTAAGTCAGAAATAGAAAAACAAAATATCATATAATATCACTTACATATGGAATCTAAAATACAAATGAACATAGCTATGAAGCAGAATCACAGACACAGAGAAAAGACTTGTGGTTGCCAAGGGGATTGGGTGGGGGGAAGGACTGGGAGCTTGGGATTAGCAGATATTAACTGTTATTTATAGGATGAATAAACAACAAGGTCCTACTGTATAGCACAGGGAACTATATTCAATATTCTGTGATAAACCATAATGGGAAAGAATACGAAAAAGAATATATATATGTATTATATAACTGTATTGCTGTATATCAGAAATTAACATAACATTAGTAAATCAACTATACTTCAATATTTTTTTAAAAAAGGAATAGAGCAGAACAGCTGTGACTGACCAAATCCTTCAATCCCGTCCATTACAGGGAAACTGCATCATATACAGGGTTACACTCCAAAGGAAGACAAGAGTAACATGTCATCAAAATTATCCTGGAGAATCCCTCAGAAAGGTGTCATGGTGAAGACCAAGGGACTCTTGAAATCCCACAGGTACACTGGAGCCATTTCTGTGGAAGGGCACCAGATACAACTGGGAGCTACATTCACTCGGCAAGTTGTTCACACAGGGAAAGGAACAGAATCCAACAAAGGGAAGAGCCATTTTATAACCACAGTCATTTGGCAGCACAATGATGAATTAGCCAATGCAATTTTAATTGTTGTTACCCACTCCCTTCCTTTGTTGCATGGGTGGAGTTGAATTCACTTGGATCAAAGGCACATGTGATGAGCACCACTGCACTAACAACACCTCTAACTTGTCACCCTAAAAACGTCTTCTCTTGTTCCCTTGAGGAATCAGGCAAGAGGGGTGAGCAGATTTGTTTCAATTCATCATGACCATCGTAAAACAAAAAAATAAATCTAGAGTGCCTTCAGGGAGAATTCCATGCAGAAGCTGAACTGAATGCTGCACAATATTCTCCTTTTGCCTTTACATCACAGTGTCAAGCCCTGTCTTTCTTCCCTGTCTTCTTCCAAGTTTCTCTCAGATCTAGTACTTGAGTTTTTGAATTATTAATTTCCCAAATATGCTGGCTTGCAACTTTCTGACTTGAACATGATTTCATTACTGCCTGCACACAAGGCCAGCCTCTCTTGATTCTTCTGTAAGGCCTTGGGCCCCCGCATTGCTTACAGCACTATCCAACTTAATAACTCTGGGTCTGTCTCCAGCAACCGCCAGTCATCTCAATCACCCCAGCAGACAAAACGGCTTGCAGGCAAAACCAATACGATGCTCTCAGAATTCTGAGAAACCACTCCAAGTCACAATGTTGTCATTCAAACACTTTGGGATTATCAAGGTGAACAGGTGAGATGCTACACTAGTGTCTATGACTGTGAAAAATAATCCTGCACAACGTCTCTTCCCACCAACTTCTGTGACTACAAAACCCCATCAACCTTCATCCCCGCCCACTATGAACACGGTGGGAACTGACATTGAGGTAGAGACCCAAAGCATGAAATGAAGATGCAGTCAGAGAATGATCTTCCCAGATACATACATAGACCCAGGGAGCAAAAGACCCAAAGCATGAAATGAAGACGCAGTCAGAGAATGATCTTCCCAGATACATACATAGACCCAGGGAGCAAAAGACCCAAAGCATGAAATGAAGACGCAGTCAGAGGATGATCTTCCCAGATACATATATAGACCCAGGGAGCAGAAGCCACCACAGCTGAGTGCTGCTTCCTTTTTGAACTCAGCATTGCAACACTTCAATCTCCAGGAGTGCATCCTTCACAGAAATGCTCAAAAGACACACATGTCAAGGTACTCATGATGGGCACTGCTTGTTACAGAAAAATCAGAAACAATGTAGAGGTCTATAATTAATAGGAAAGTGGGAATGGCATAAGAGTTCACACACAGAAAAGAATACTAGACACATATTTAAAAGAATTAAGTAGCTCAACCTCCACTGGAGTCTATATTCTTCAAGAACAAGGATTTGCTTCTGTTCTGATCACTACTGTAAACCCAGTACTCAAAACAGCAGCAGGCACATAGCGAGTGCTCCACAAATATTTGTTGAGTAAATATATTGCTAGGTGAGCAAAGCTAGTGGCAAAACATTATCAATATACAACCCATTTTGCATAAAATTAAACCAGAGTAATGTTAGAGCCTCTTGATGAAGGTGAAAGAGGAGAGTGATAAAGCTGGCTTAAAACTCAACATTCAAAAAACTAAGATCATGGCATCCAGTCCCATCACTTCATGGCAAATAAATAGGGAAATAAATGGAAACAGTGACAAGCTTTATATTCTTGGGCTCCAAAATCACTGCAGATGGTGACTGCAGCCACGAAATTAAAAGATGCTTGCTCCTTGGAAGAAAATCTATGACAAACATAGACAGTGTATTAAAAAACAGAGACATCACTTTGCCAACAAAGGTCCATATAGTCAAAGCTATGGATTTTTCAGTAGTCATATACGGAAGTGAGTGTTGGATCATAAAGAAGACTGAGCACCAAAGAACTGATACTTTCAAACTGTAGTGCTGGAGAAGACTCTTGAGAGTCCCTTGGACAACAAAAGAGATTAAACCAGTCAATCCAAAAGGAAATCAACCCTAAATATTCATTGGAAGGACTGATGCTCAAGCTCCAATACTTTGGCCACCTGGTACAAAGAACCGACTCAGTAGAAAAGACCCTGATGCCAGGAAAGACTGCACATAGAAGGGGGTGACACAGGATAAGATGGTTGGATGGCACCACCAACTCAAAGGACATGAGGTCTGAGCAAACTCCAGGAGAAGGACAAAGGAGCCTGGTGTGCTGCAGTCCATGCGGTCACAAAGAGTTGGACACAACTGAGCAACTGAACAACAAAAAAAATTTAGAACACACATGGTAAACAGTTCATTGTTCAAGCTACTTGATTGGTATGTGGGGGTTTATGACACTTGTCTCTTTACTGTTATGTTTGAACAATTCCACAATAAATATCTTATAAGGACAAAAGAAAAGTTGTAATACTATGCACTGAACCATTAACAGTGGTTATCTTAGGTAAGATTTTGAGGGATTTTCTTCCATTCTGATCTTTTATATTTAACTTTGTATTTTTTTTAATTTTTATTGAAATATGGTTGATTTACAATGTTGTGTTTTCAGGTATACAGCAAAGTGATCAGCTACATATTTTTTTTTAGATTCTTTTCCATTATAGGTTATTACAAGATATTGAATATAGTTCCCTGTGCTATAGGTCCTTGTTGGTTACCTATTTTATGTACAGTAGTGTGTATATGTTAATCCCAACTCCTAAATTATCCCTTCCCCACCTTACACTTTGGTAACTATAGGTTTGTTTTCTATGTCTCTAAGTCTCATTTCTATTTTGTAAATAAGTTCACTTGTATCAGTTGTTAGGATTCCACATATAAGTGATATCACATGATATTTGTCTTTCTCTTAGTATGATAATCTCTGGGTCCATCCATGTTGCTACAAATAACTTTGTAATATGCTTACAATGGTGGCGGGGAGGAACTTAAAAGTAGTATTTTGCCCAAAGTACTAAGGTTGTGAACATATAGAAGAGTTTGCTTGCAGTGAATGTAGCTGAAAGAAGGTAAAATTTCAGCCATTGTCAAATCACCGAGAAAAGTCCAACTTTAACAATTATCAACACTTTTGTCTGTGTGTTTTAACATCACACTTGTTTATTTTTTACATAAAATATGTGATACACTACTTAAGATTTTGCTACTTATTCTGTTCATTGGCAATAGTCAACCAATATTTACTAAACACCTTCTGTGTGTGTCCATGCATACTTGGTCATGTCTGACACTTTGTGACCTCATGGACTGTAGCCTGCCAGGCTCCTCCATCCATGGAATCTTCCAGACAAGAATATTGGTGTGGGTTGCCACTTCTTTCTCCAGGGCAGTCTTCCCGACTCAGGGATCAAACCCATGTCTCTTGCATCTCCTGCACTGGCAGGATTCTTCACCACTGTACCATCTAGGAAGCCCCACCTTCTGTGTATCAGACCCAGTTTTAGGCAAAAATGCTAGCTTAGCAATTAAGAAAGAAAGAACTCCTCCCTGATTCCCAAATGCCAGCTCCCTGACCTCCCTTGGCCCAAACTAGGGGCACTGCTTCAGGCACTCACTTCCTCCAACAGTCCCAGAGGAAATTTTCCATCTCTATGGCAAGTCTCAAGAAACTTATGTGGTAACAGCTGTTGGACCCTTCTTCCCACAGAAAAATGAAGCTTACATTCCAAAACAGAAACTCAAAGAGGGGGGAAAAAAAAAACATATTAATGCAATCACCCTTTTCCAATCATAATCTCTCAACCATCCTCTCCAGGAAGCCTCTTTTAAAAATATGAAACAGATTCCTGAAAGAGAAATCTATTAGAAAAATCTACATTTCACAAGTCTAGCCTCCTGATTACTGAATGAGTCTAGAAGATCCACTGCTTTAAAGGAGGATCCTAACTGGAGGGCAATCTCAAGAAGGTACATGTTGAAAGCTCAGTAAATTAGTCTTGTCACAAGCTTCTCCTTCCCCTCCCACTCCCTATTTGAGAGTTTAAATACTCAACAAAATAAGGTGGGAGCTTATTCAAACAAATACAGAATCATGAACAAATATGCCAAGTGCATTTTAAAGTTAAAGGTACACAGTGTGTTAAATATTGAGGTTTACGGTTATCATTATTGGGCAACATTTACTGAGTGTCTCTACGTGCCAGGCAACATAAGCCTGGACTGTGCACTATTTCATTCAATCACTGTATCAGATACGCCTTTTCCCCCACCGTTCAGATGAGGACACTGAGAACAAACAAGTTACATGTAAATACCGATGTCACTTACTAGACATATATTGGTTTTATCCATTCAAAACTCCCAGGTCCTTTAGGCAATAGCGCATCCCCCATTCCATGAGGTTCCAGTGATCATGGTGCCCTGGGACCCCTGGGCACCTACATGAGGCTAATCACAACACTTCACACCCTGGCCCAGTGACTGGTCAAGGGATGGGCAAGTGACCCAAAGCAGAGCCAATGAGAATCTTCCCTGAGATTGCATGAAGAGAGACAGCAGACGATACATGCTGGGTACAGTTGGGGTAGCCAGCATCCAAAGACAGTGCCCAATGCATGTGCTTTGTTGTTCCCTGGCACAAGAAATCTGAGTGGCCTTACTGCCTCACTGCAAACCATGGAATGTAGCCAAAGAGATTCTATGTCCCTTCCAGACCTAAGGCCTGAGAAGGCCTGGCAGCTTCCACTTTTGTATTTGAAAACCCTGAGTTGCCATGGAGGACGTCTAGATTACAATAATTTTGAATACTGTAGATGCTAAGCACTGTATTCACAATGCCTAATGAATAATCAGCCTTGAGTGAGTATAATGAAGGAGCCAGAGACATTATTTAAGTCCTTGGAACCAGCCATGCCTAAAATTTGACCCATCCCTGGACTCTCAGTTTCATGAGCCAAAAAAATTTACTTTTGGGGATAAACAACAAGGTTCTACTCTATAGCATAGGGAACTATATTGAATATCCCATGGTAAACCATAATGGAAAGGAATATGAAAAAGAATATATATATATAACTGAATCACTTCACTGTACAATAGCAATTAACACAACACTGTATATAAACTATACTTCAATAATTTTTTTTTTTAATTCACTTTTGGCCTAAGCTAGTTTGCGTTGAGTTTCTATCACTCGCAATCAAGAGGCCTGATTTATCCAGTCTCCTAGCAACAGCAGGTGGAAGCTGACCTTGAAGCTGGGTCCATCTAAAGCAGAAATTCCCACCCACTCCCTCCGACCACAAACGCATCCCACCTCCGGTATCCTTTTAATTCTCACTAAGCAGGACAATTTTCAAGAAAAAGTTCTCCCCACACTTACACTTCTGGACAAAGTTGCTCACGTGCTTAATCTTCATCAGAGCCGGCTGACTGCATTCTTTAAAGAGAACAAAGAGGGCATCTAATATCGCTTCTCGGGAAAGAAGAGCCATCTGCTGTTGAGTCATGGAGGATGGTTTCCCCTAAAAACAGCAAACAGCAGATGGAGACACTGTCAATAATGAAAAGCTTTGATCAATAACATCCACGCAGAGTAAATTGCAAGCCACCAGCTCAACTAACTGCTCACGACACATGCTAGCAGCAGAATTTGGTGGCCTCATCCTTTAAAGTGACGTCCACTGACAGTCATTATCACTTGTATGTGGGCTTCTTCCTCCTGCACCTGGGGAGGAAAACTTCATCAGCATGCCATGAATAAGAAACAGTTCTTCTGTCTTAGCAGTCTGAGGCTCATGGGGACATTTACCCCAGACCCTGCTGGTCCTGTCACATCTCCGTGTCTCTTCAGGAGGACACAATGAATGCCTCTTCCTCCCTGTGCTCCTACAGGTTTGTTTAACATAACTTCAGTTTCTTTAATTCACTCGAATAAAGGGTCATGTGAATGGAGTGACTGCGCTAAAGCTGAATTTATTCATGATCTCAGGCAACAGTTGCAAACTGGCAGACTGCATCTAGCCCACAGACATGTTTTGTTTGGCCTGTTACATTTACAATAATTTATCTGCCAATATTGAAAAATCAGGAGATTTCACACCAAATGAAAAGGGGAGGGGGGAGGGGAGGATTTCTAGCTTCTTATGGGACACAGGCAGATCTGGCAACACTGTACCACATTCCTGCCTGGGGAGGCTGAGCTGTAGCTAAGGAGCACTGCCCCTCTAGAAAGTGGATGTGTTCGGCATTTCACTGCAGACTCAACTCACAGCTCTTCCATCTGGCCCATCTGACTCCTTTACACTCACTGTCTGGCCACCCAAGACATGAATTCACACCCCTGGTCCAGAGCAATGAATCCCATGTGCCACGGACTATATGTAGTTCTCTCTGTAAAGCTGCTGCTGCTAAGTCACTTCAGTCATGTCCAACTCTGTGCGACCCCACAGACGGTAGCCCACCAGGCTCCCCCGTCCCTGGGATTCTCCAGGCAAGAATACTGGAGTGGGTTGCCATTTCCTTCTCCAATGAGTGAAAGTGAAAAATCAAAGTGAAGTCGCTCAGTCATGGCTGACTCCTAGTGACCCCAAGGACTGCAGCCTACCAGGCTCCTCCATCCATGGGATTTTCCAGGCAAGAGGACTGGAGTGGGTTGCCATTGCCTTCTCTGTCTGCAAAGCTGGCCACCAACAATTCTTCTAACTCTAAAAGCCACTGCATCCATCAAGCGTCAGAGTCTATTTCTTCTCCCCATGAATCTGTGCTGTCTCCATGACTCATGTGAACCAACAGAATGTAACACAAGTGACCCACTGCCAGTTCAAGATGCAGCCCTTAAGAAATCTGGCAGCTTCTACTTTTGTTTTTTTGGGGAAGCCAGCTGCCAAGTTGAGAAGCATGGGCTAGACCAGGTGACAGTCAAATCTCACCCACTGTCTGTTTTTATAAATAAAGCTTTATTGGAACACAGCCATGCCTATTAATTTACACATCATCTATGGCTCTGTGTGTGTGTTAGCTGTTCAGTCTCATCCAGCTCTTTGCGACCCTATGGACTGTAGCCTGCCAGGCTCCTCTGTCCATGGAATTCTCCAGGCAAGAACAGTGGAATGGGTTGCCATTTGCTTCTCCAGGGGATCTTCCAAACCCAGGGATTGAACTCAGGTCTCCTGCATTGCATGCAGATTCTTTACTGTCTGAGCTTCTGTGCTATAAATAGAATGGCAGAGTCCAGTAGATGCAGCAGAGACCTTAGGGCCAACGTACTATTCACAGAAAAAAATTATAAGCCCCAGATTAGACTGAGTGAGTAACAAAAGACCTTTGGAGAAGAGGTCACTGGACAAACTGAGGCACCCCAGGCAGCAGTCGGCAACCAGAGGTTTTAGTCCCAGCCAAGCTCCCAACTCAGTACAACCCATGAGTGACCCCAGCAGAATCACCTAGTTGCATGCAGCCAACCCACAGAATTGTAAGAAAAAGTAAATCATTGTTGCTTTAAACTTTATGAGTGCTTTGTTACACAGCCCCGGATGACAGAAACAAACTGACTGTAACAGCCCAACAGCAGGCTCCTCGGCCAGAACCAGAAGCATAATGGGCCCTTTCCTGCCCGCTCCCTGGCACTGGCCAGCACACACCATTAAAGCAGGGGCCACTCCACTGCACCTCTCTGCACGCGGCTGAACCCAGCCCACCAGGCCGGTCCACACCACCACTAACCCGCTGCCCAAGTGGCAGACGGGAGCTCCGCCCCCAGGATGCCAGCTCCTGAGCCACCTCATCAGCCACAAACTGACCAGTGAAGCCAGCTGAGGCCACAGCGTCTGCCGCCTCAGACAACCAGGCTCTACCAAGGGCTGGAGGACGATTCTAGAGCAGCCCGGACTTCCTCAGACCCTGCCGCTTTCTGGCGCCGTGTGGCACCTTCCTACTCTGGGTGCAATAGCTGCGAGGCAGGCACAAGCTATAGCGGCCCTGCTCAGCTCAACTGTGGACCTGCCTCCAAGCAAGCAACCGTTAGTGAGCGACTGTCAACCACCCACTTTCGGTGGCCCTGCTCAGCCATTGGTCAGTGCCACCGTGGGCCCCTCCCCCAAGCAAGCAACCGTTAGTGAGCGACTGTCAACCACCCACTTTCTGTGGTCCTGCTCAGCCACTGGTTGGTGCCACAGTGAGCCCCTCCCCCTCTTGTATATAAACGGAGCTAGCCCTCCAACTGAGGGAAGATGGCTTTCTGAGATTCCAGTCTGCCATCTTCTCCATCTGCTAGCTTTCCAATACAAGTAGTCATTCCTTGTTCCAACAACTCATCTCCTGATTTACTGGCCTGTCCTGTGGCAAGCAGAACAAGCTTGGGCTCAGTAACATGACTTTGAATCACCTGGAGAACTTTATTAAAAACCAAAAACCAGATTCTCAGGTACCATTACCAGTCTGTAGCTAAGAATATCGGAGAAGGCAATGGCACCCCATTCCAGTACTCTTACCTGGAAAATCCTGTGGATGGAGGAGCCTGGTGGGCTGCAGTCCATGGGGTCGCTAAGAGTTGGACACGACTAAGTGACTTCACTTTCACTTTTACGCACTGGAGAAGGAAATGGCAACCCACTCCAGTGTTCTTGCCTGGAGAATCCCAGGACAGGGGAGCCTGGTGGGCTGACGTCTAGGGGGTCACAGAGTCGGACACGACTGAAGTGACTCAGCAGCAGCAGCTGAGAATATATTTCAGTAAGACGTCCTACCAAGACAGTCAGACCTCAGCCAGGTTTGTGAAGCACTAAGTCAGACCACACTATCTGTCACTTTCGAGTTCTGTCACTTCCTGGGAAAATAAGATTCCCTTGATGAGTTTAGACTAACTAAGCAGCAGTTCCCAAATACAGTACTGAGTCTTAAAAAAGTTTTCAAGTCTGTCATAAAGTAAGAAAAAGTGAACACTGCACAATGACTCTTTTAAGCTAAGTGTATTCAAATTGTAAAATGGTCCTTTATTCTGAAACAACATCCTTGCCCTGGTGGTGTTTTTTAAAATGTCCTCTCTTTATGAAATAAAAGGACCAGAAGATAATAGTGTTTTCTTTTTTGTGTTTTTTTACATCCCTTACTTAGCAAAATACAAGGTTGGCAAACCTCAGTCAGCCTAGCAAACTTGTAAAATTTTGCTGGCTCAAAAATCTAAAAGCCTGCCAACCACTGACCTGCAACTCTTGGGGTGGTACTTACTGTTAAGTAGAAACTGAGACCCTGTCTAAATGGAAAACAAAACCACTACTCTCTATCCAAACCTCATTAAAAGGACACTGGGATAGGGATAAAGCGGGATAATCAGTTAGTTTAGAAATCCCATGAGGGGATTAAAGACAAGAGGGAATTTTAAGGGCATTTGGGAGACTGCTATAAGCTAATGACCACTCTAGAAAAGAACCCAGTAACCTAGCAACAATCTCCTCTGATGGCTCAGACGGTAAAGAATCCTCCTGCAATGCGGGAGACCTGGGTTCAGAAGCTCCCCTGGAGAAGGGAATGGCTACCCACTCCAGTATTTTTGCCTGGGGAATGCTACGGACAGAGGAACCTGGAAGGCTACAGTCCATGGATGGGGTCACAAAGAGTCGGACACAAAGGAGAGACTGACACTTTCACCTCAGTAACAATCTACACTACCCTGAAGGAAGACCAGATGTATCCAATTGCCAGGCACACTCAAGCCACAGGTGCCAACAGTTTAAACACAAGACAATAGATATCAGGTCTGAATCTTGTTACATGAAGTCAGGGAGTCCTTGAAGAATAGCATTCCTGCAGGTAGTCAAGACAGGAATAGAGGGGGAAAGGGAAAGAAACTAGGTAAAAGGGGCCATAATATCAAAACCTGAGACGAATTACCATATTTTAGTATATACTACCTTTCTTCTGTTAATATACATATGATTTAAATAGCACCGTGACAGTCCTCATTAACCATACAGGGTCAAAGGAGAACTAAAAACCTAAGCCTTGAACATCTACCCCAAAATGAGGAAGGTGGTCTATTCCACTCCCCACTTCTTTGACTATGAAAATAAAGCCCTCTTTGTTCTCGGTGCTGAGCTCCCCTGCCAGACCATTTGTATCTCTCACAAGCATCCTCTGCTAATAAACTCACTCCGCCGTTTCCGTGATAAAAAGAACCTGAGCTTCAGTAAGTTCTGACACAAGGTGAGCAGTTTCAATTAAAAGACAGTGAGTTTGACCCACACGCTTCAACAGAAGACTCAGTGCAGCCAAAATAAAAAAATTTTAAAAAAACAACAAAAGTGGGTTCAAGTCCCCTCCTAACTCAGGAATGATGGACTCAAGTCCCAATCTGAGTTTTGGCTGGGTTCAAGTCCCATCCAAGAAGGAGTGGGTTTCATCTAAATGGGGGGCAAAAACAGTATCCTTAATCTGCTTATATTAAAGCAAGTGCTGGGGTTATGCTATGCTTGCAAATAACAGCTTTTCAGAGCACAGGGGGGAACTTGTTAAAAAAAAAAAAGGATGAATTGGGGATTTACATACAATCTTTGCTGGTATAATGACATTTAAATACAAGATATACTTACTAAACTCTGATATACACTGGCAATGTTGCCCAGCAGTTACACACCCACACCAAAAATGGGGTATGGCTTTGTCATTTAAAAGCTGTGTGATTCTGAGCAAATCTCTGTCCCTCTCCATATCTGCACATTATAAGAATTTTGTCGTAAGTTGGAAGTTTAGGAGTAAAACGATTAATGGGTTAAAAAGTGGTAGCACTCCAGTCAGTTGAGGTTAAAAATAGACCATTCATAAGAGAAAAATACCTCGACTTAAATGGTGACCCACAGAACAACATAAGATTTCACTCTGTCCTCATTCTGATCTGGTTAAACATTCCCCAATACCAATATCTTGGTGAAAATGTCCTCAAGAACATATTAGTAGTGAAACTAATATAACATTGTAAATCACCTTAGATTTATCATCATACAGATAATCCTACAAAAATGCCTTATTTAGTAGTGAACATAAATTTATTATTACTGTAGCTAATACTATTTCTACACTCATCATTAATAATAGTTATCATTTATAAAGGGCTTACCAAGAGCTGGGCAAGAACTAAGTACATGAATTATCTCATTTAATCCTCATAACTTTGTAAATTAGGTGCTATAACTTCTATTATAATACAAAGAATGGAAAATGGATCTAGAGAAGGCAACTGACTCACCCAAGGTAACACAGCTAACACATTCTGGGGCCAGGATTCAAACCTAAACCTTCACCACTATCTGTATTTTCTCTTTGACTTATCAAACAAGGATTTCTACAACAAACAAAAGAATTAGAAATCTACTTGGGAAAAAAAATCTCACAACATTAAGTTTTCATCTTTTTGGGGGTGATGGAAATGGTCTATATCTTGAGAGGGATGTGGGTTGTACAGGTTTGGTATTTATCAAAACTTTTTTAAAACATAAACATCCCTTGAATGAAAAAGATTTCTATATTTCTATAGGGTTACACCTATAGAAATTCCAGTCAAAAGAGTGCTTTTGTTCATTTACTTTTCCTTCTGTAATAAAAGGGCAAACTTTAGTGCAAAAGTGTAACATGTGTGAAATCCTCAAAAAGGTCACCCTTCCAGGGCAAGTTCAGCTACTTACTTCTGGCACAACGGCTCCTTTTTCCACAACTTTCAGCATATGTAAAACACCAAATGGGATTTCTCCTAGATTCACCTCAATCCTCTAACAAATTCCTATAACCTCTGAATCACAAAGAGGTTCCAAGGAAACACACAGAGGTGAGCAAAGTTGACAAGCCAGTCTGTTACCTGGAAGAAAAGACTCAGCCTGGAGGCCCGGCTGGCAATGGACTCAACAGCACCAGCGTCCAGCAGATTCCGTGCTCCATACTTGAACTTCAGCATCTCCCCACTGGGGATGAGAGGAGACAGGAGGAGGTTATCCGCAGACTTGAACGCGAACGGTTTCAGAGATCCTGAGCTTTCCCGCAAGATATCATGGGTAGGGAGGTGAAAAATCAGCCACCACTGGGTCTTGGGAAGCTCAGTCTGGTGACACAGATTAAAAATCAGACTTTTATTCAGTGTAACAGGAGTAACACTGCAACACTTATCTGACATAGTCACTTACTTAAAATTTGTTTTATAACTGCAGACAGTGACTGCAGCCATGAAATTAAAAGATGCTTGCTCCTAGGAAGAAGAGCTATATGACAAATCTAGACAGCATATTAAAAAGAAGAGAGATCACTTTGCCAACAAAGGACTGTATAGTCAAAGCTATGGTTTTTCCAATAGTCATGTACGGATATGAGAGCTGGACCATAAAGAAGGCTGAGCACCCAAGAATTGATGCGTTTGAATTGTGGTGATGGAGAAGACTCTTGCTTTGGACAGCAAGGAAATCAAACCAGTCAATCCTAAAAAAAATAAACCCTAAATATTCATTTGAAGGACTGATGCTGAATCGCCAACACTTTGGCCACCTGACGCAAAGAGTTGACTCACTGGAAAAGACCCTGATGCTGGGAAAAACTGAGGGCAGGAGGAGAAGGGGTGACAGAGGATGAGATGGTTGGATGGCATCACTGACTCAATGGACATGAGTGTGAGCAAACTCTGGGAGAAAATGAAGGACAGGGAAGCTTGGCAAGCTGCAGTCCATGTGATCACAAAGAGTCAGATATGACTTAACCACGGAACAACAACAACCCCCCTTAGAATATAAGCTCCACCAGGTCAGGGACTTTTATCCTAATATAATGGGGACATATATAGCCTGGCATATAAATGCTAATAAACAGTTATTGAACAAATAATTGAAAATAAGTAAATTACATAATACAGGTATGTTGGAAGCTATGGGGTTAAAAAAATAATAAGAAAAAAACAAATGGAGGAATTGGGGCATGGTAGTGTGTGTATAACAGTGTAGTCAGAGTAGCTTCACCGTTCAGTTCAGTCTTGTCCGACTCTGTGCGACCCCACTGACTGCAGCACACCAGGCTTCCCTGTCCATTACCAACTCAAGGAGCTTGTTCGAATTCACGTCCATCGAGTTAGTGATGCCATCTAACC